TACCTCTTATTTTGGAGAAGGGTGTGTGTCTGAGAAGATGCTACTGCCTGGGGAGGGGAGTTTTGCCTCTTCTTTGGGGAGAAATGTTAGAAACCTGGGGGCTGTAGGTGTGTCTGTGGAGCCTGTTGGGTTTTGAGGGGTGTCCCTGCATTGAGGGGCTGGGAATGAACCCCCTGGGTGGGATGTCCCGAGGTGGGGATTATGGTTCAGGGTGTGCTTTCCTTGGCCATGAGCGGGTTAAAAACCCATTTATTGACCCGAATCGCTCCTGCTGTCTCTGTGTCCAGGTGAAGGGACCCTCCCCCAGCAGCTGCCATGGGTTCTGTGCTTTCCCTCCCCGCCGGCAGCGCTGCCCCGAGGCAGAGGAAGGCAGCTGAGGAGGAGGATGACGATTTACTTGACAGCCAGGACCGTGTGGAAGACATTGCCGAGTTCCCCTACGTGGAATTCACAGGCCAGGACAGCATCACCTGTCCCACGTGCCAAGGCACTGGCTGCATCCCCACAGGTGACTGCTCCTCTCTGGGCTTAAACACTCAGTAAATGAGTGTTTAAAATGATTTATTAAATCGTTTTTATTCTAAATGATACATTTTTGTATACAATCGTTCATAAAATGTCATTTATTTGACCTGTGGGATGGGATAATGCTTCCCTTTGCTTCTCTTTTGCTTCCCAGAGCAGGTGAATGAGTTGGTGGCTCTGATCCCCTACAGCGACCAACGGCTTCGTCCCCAGAGAACGTGAGTTCACAGAGGGAGTGTTTACAAACAGGGCTCTTTTTATGTCATTTACTGCTGCAACTAAACCCTTCACCCCCGTCTGCAGCTTCTCCTTCACGTTGACGGGGTGTTTTCATCCCCACACGCCAACAAACACGGTTTGAAGGCGTAACTTTGAATCCTTCCTGTGAAATCCCGCTGTGGGCTGAGTGTGGGAACAAGGATCCTACTCACCGAAGCTTCTTTAGAGCATCTGCAAAACCACCCAGCTGGGAAACGGGGGGGGCACAAACCGTGGTTACTCAGTGCCAGAAAATAAACTGCTTAAAAAGGGGGGGGGACAGGTTTTGGAGCAATTCAGATACCGAAAAATGTCAGAACAGCACTTCTGTGTCTGTGCCAAGGAAGAATGAGCAGGTGGTGGGTGGTTGTGAGATCCAGAGTGTCACGGAAGGGCACGGCGGGTGAGCCCTTCCCTGCCTTTTCCCAGGAAGCTCTACGTCCTGCTCTCGGTGCTGCTCTGCCTCCTGGTCTCCGGGCTGGTGGTTTTCTTCCTCTTCCCACACTCGGTCCTGGTGGAGGACGATGGGATCAAAGTGGTTCAGGTGTGGTTTAACAGGAAGAACTCCGCTGTCCTTCTGGCCATCACGGTACAGTTTTCCACGGATCTGTGTGTTCTGGGGGGGAGCAGACTTGGAGCTGAGCCGCCAGGAAGGTCCCTGCTGTCCACATCTCTTCCTTCTCTCTCTTCAGGCCACCTTAAGGATCAGGAACTCCAACTTCTACTCGGTGGCAGTGGCCAGCCTGACCAGCCAGGTGCAGTACATGAACACGGTGGTGGGCACCCAGCAGGTCACCAACGTCTCCAGCATCCCGCCCCTGAGTGACAAACTGGTAATTCCTGTCCCCCAGGTCAAGGGGGAATCCTGGGCCACCACCACGAGCGAGCCCTGAGCTGCACCCCAGAGCTCTGCTCAGCCCAACGTCTCATGGGCAGGGCGGCCCCAAAGGCATCAGCAAGTGGGAAATCCCCCCAAAAACCAGGGGGACTGAAGGAGTGCTCGAGCTGCACATAACTGATGTTTTCTTTTATCTGTTACAGGTGAATTTTACTGTGAAGGCAGAGCTGGGTGGAGCCTTCTCCTACGTGTAGTAAGGATTTGCTACTCCTTGTAAGGGGCTGGGGAAGAGAGTGGGGCTGAAGGTGCCTTTGTTACAGTTTGCAAAGTAACCTGGGGTTTGAAAAGGACTCAGTTTTTCTACTGACTTCCTGGAAAGCAGCTGTTTGCTAAAAAAAAAAATCACTTGAAATGCCCTTTGTCGGGGTGTTGTGATGTGGTTTTGAGTCAACACCAATGGGAAATTATTGTGGTAATAATAACTGTAAATATAATTATAAAAAATAGTTATAACTCATTATTGGCTGCTGAGAAACCCACTGCTGACCCACTTCTTTGGTGTCTTCCAGTTCCTTCTGCACATACCCCAAGGTGAAGGTCCATAACATCGTGGTCTTCATGAGGTAGGTGGTTCTCTGCTCTCCCCCTGCTTGGAGCTCTCTTCCCAACCTTCCTGGCTCCTGAACTCCAAAGGGAACTGCTGCCACAGCAGGTCTGGGGTGCAAAGAGAAAATCCTGCTTGGCAAACACCCCAGCCTTGCCTCAGTTAATCCAGGCCAGTTGACACAGTGGGTGAAATGTGGGATAGGGAAGACAATTCCCTCCGTGTGCCGAGCTCTCCTGCGCTCCAGAGGCTGCATTTCCACCCCTGCATATCCCTGCCCACCACAGCCAGGAAAACCTTGAGGGGCTCTGCAGGTTTTTTAGGGGGAGGGGAGGGGAAAGAGGAGTTGTTGTGATGAGTTTAAACCTGCTCTGAACTGCTCTTGCCCCTGCCAGGAGC